TCTAATATGTTATATATGCAAAAAGATAATAAAATGGCTAAAAAAGGTCAGATAATAAATTTTAAGGATTAAAAAAGGACTTTTTTAAATATAGAGATTAAAAAATGATCTTTTGTTAAAGTAGAGAAACCAAAATGAAATTTTGACTATTACAGATCAACTCATCAGGTTAACCTTTTTTCTTTTTCTTTTTTTTCTTTTTTTATAATTACTTTTATTTTAATCTTTTAAAATGATATAATATTTTTTATGGGAAAATTCTTCTCATTTCAATGTCTTGATCATTCTAAAACATAATTTAAACATTTAAAATTTCATTTAACTCAATTGCAGCAAAAAAAAAATCAAGTGCTAAACCTCAATCTAAATCAAAAGGAGACAAAAAACGTAACATCAACTCTATATATTTGAACTTTAGCAAAAAAAAAAAAAAAAGAACTCTTTATATTTGAACGATTAGAACAATAGCAAGTTTTTTTTGTTCATTTGGAGGCTACAGCTATCACAAATGTTATTTTCATCCATAACTTTAAAAAAGCCATGTAAAAAGGTGTGTTAAGAATTTATCAAATTTCATTGCTTGAACAACAATAACAACTAATTATTACAGAAAATTCAAGAACATCCACCAAAATAGAGAGAGAGAGAGAAGAAATTGATAGAGAATTGGAATGGGTGAGTGATTGTAGGAAGAAAATCAGTTTAACTTTGAGTTGCTTCAAGTTTCTTTGTGGCTGATATGCGAGTCCAGAGGTGGCAATTTGAAAGTCATAGTAAGATTGATGGTGGCTGACGAGGGAGAGGAAGACAGAGAGTTAGAGTATGGAGTTTTAATTGAGAGAAAATGAAATTATTTGATATTATCAAGAACTTAAAAAAATAAATATTCTTTTAAAAAATAAAACAGTCAACTTATAAATTTATGAGTTGATTATTTTTTAACTTGTGATTTCTTCGAATCATCTTTAAGTTGTTAACGAGTCGTAAATTATAAAATATAAATTCTAAACAGTTTACAAAAATTAAATTGAGAACGAATTTATAGATTGAATTGTAAATTGTCATCCCTAACTAAAGGGTCAGGGAGAGTGTCAAGCAAAAAAATAGGGATATCTAATGGTAAAAGCACAAGTGGAGAGATCATTAATTTACTTCTCTTTCTGATTAACACAAATTTTGCCCTACCAATTGTCACGAGAACAACATTAAGATAATATATATGTAGCCACTAGTACACCTTGCTTGAAGTTCTTCAGATACTTTTTGTACAGCATATACAATTACAAGCTGCCTTTAACAAATGACAGACCAAATAATTAATTAAACTTCCACTCTAAGAAAGAACACATAAATGCTGAAGAAATCCCCGAAGCGCTGAATAATTGATCTCCGAAACACCATCGTCTATATATAAATTCCACTATCTGTTTGATCATTTGAAAATGTATTTCACAATTCCTGGAATATGGGTGTTCATGAAGTAGTCTTCCCAGTCTATGCATTGGGGATCAAAGTAAAACAAATCCATGTCTACCCCACTGTCTCTTGCTGCCATTCTCAATTTCTCTGTGTTCATGTCATCGAAGCTGTACCGAAAGAAACATTAATAAATGCATTTATAAGCGAGTGCGGGTTTGCCACTTTTCAGTCCAGACGCGCAAAATAAAATGCAAAAGTTCAAGACTAAATGCTCAAATTCAATATACTTACGTGCCATTGAAGAACAAATACGGTCTGTAAATCTCTACCAATCGCATTACAAAGTTGATTTTCCTGCTCAGATCACTGTAAACACCTTGGAAGTACTTGCAAAATGCTATATTTGCCAATTCTAGCCCCTGCATGCATATGATAGAAGATTGAAATGAGAACAGAACTTCATTTTGTTATCTTGGACATTCAAATGCAATTTAGAACGAACCTTTAGCGGAAACAAGTATCGGAAAGTCATGTATCTATGGAAGCTAGCCATACTTTCCAGTACCCTGATTTGGCCAACTTTTACGGGCTTTCCATCCTTGTTAATCCAGGGATTCTTAGTGAAGTAACGGAAGCCATAGTCTTGAAGGTTATCGTACGTAAGAGGGTTGCTTACTGATGATCCCACTTGATAAATGGTATCAAACGGCTGATATGCATGAGCTACCATGGCCACCATCATAGCATTCACCACCATATCAGCTGGTATCTGCAAAATCACGAAATTTAGTTAAGACAAAAATGTCATAAAAGAATCATGAATGACTTTGAGTTACTCACCACATCAACAACTCCCTTAAGATCTCCGAGGAAGCATTGTAGTTTTCCTTTAGCATAACCAACAGCTAAGCTATCTATTGTCCTGCAGCCAGAGACACAATCAAATAACTTGTTTGGTTACTAAGAAAATGGAAGAAAACAAATTCAAAAGAAATTCATTACCTGACTCCTTCAGCCCAACCAGGGAATGGTTCCTTGTAAGTGCTAGTTACAATGGTAGGCCGTACAATGACCGTGGGTATACTTTCTTTCAAATCCTCCACAAACATTTCTCCCATTGCCTTGGTAAATACGTAAGTGTTTGGCCATCCATAAGTCTTTGCCCTTAACATCAATGATTCAATTAGGGGTTAGAATCCGTCCATATGTTGGAGATGGTACAAGAACAATTAAATAGGTGAGACTTTTGTTGTGAATGATAATGGCCTAAAAAACTCAGTAACTACTACTAGTTAGCAAGTAGCATCAAGTTCAATAATACCAATGAGGGGTTAGCAAGTAGCATCAAGTTCAATAATACCAATGAGGGGTTAGCAAGTAGCATCAAGTTCAATAATACCAATGAGGGGTTAGATCAAGTAGTAAACGGTTTGTTCCAACTTAAATAAGGTCTCGAGTTCGAGACCTTGTGTATGTAGCAGCCTCCGTTGAGAGATTCATTCACTATTTCTAGGTGCGCGACGCTGGTCGATCCGAATTAATCAGAGCGAAACCTCGAATTAATCAGAACGAAACCTCGAATAGCGAACGGAAAACCAAAAAAAATCAAGTTCAATAATTCTAATAAAAATATCCACAGCAGCTGCACCCATATGACACTAGACGTTTCTCCGTTTATCTAGGGTGAAAATCAACATAATTAATTCAACAATAACTCATAAATGTCTCCATCCTACTTTGTGCAGTCGATAGTTAGGCCAAAACCAACACGCAAAGTTCATATATGCCAGGAGACTGAGGGTGACTGTCACGGTTGGGCTTAGCTAATTAAAAACATTAGTGATATATAAACACCCAGAGGACCCAGGAACATGATAGCTTTAAGATTTGGAACTCAGAGTAGTGTCTAACATAACTTGTATACTGGACCCTTCTAAGGTGATAGCTCCGAGTAAACCAGTCTCCTCACGGTACTTTTTCAACATAATTCACTAATGCTGAGATGTCAGATTCAATATCAAAGGTGTACCTGGTTTTATCATTTATACATACAAAATGATTAAAAAAAAAAAAAGGAAGATAAAAAAGAGCAGAGAGAACAAGGGTTTTAAGTCATAGACCATGGCTAATAAATATGCTGAGATAAGTACATTCAGGAAGACTGCAAGGAAGCTGGTGTTTCATCAATTTTGGAAGCTGAGGCGGGGTCATTAATGGCGTTGGTAGCAGCTAGTTATGATTCTTGGTAAACCCATTCAGACACGCAGGAACTTTATTCATATGGTTTTGAGACCAAATACAGGATATTACATTATTACTACATGGGTAGCTATTTAAACTGTTTTGTCTTTAAAAAATGTTAAATAATTCTGAGTGAATGTTTTGAGTCCTTTATATAAAATAAAATAGAATCTTCTTTTCTTTGTTTCTCTTTAATTTTATAATTTCCCTCCATGACCCACGTTTCCCTTTGTTCAACCCAAAAAAAAATAAAAATAAAAATAAAAAAACCATTATCTCTTTGAATTATGTCTTCTATACACTTGAAGGAGAGAGTTTGAAACCTAGACTTTGTTCAGCTTGTTGCAGGGAGAAAGAACAGATAAGGTGCAGACTCTGCGCAGGGAGTAGTTGGTAAGTGAATTAATTGCTTTCGTTAGATTTGCTCTTACTATCATAACCCCACATTCCACAACTTTTTCGGTACATGCTTTATGTAAAATTAAATAAAAAGGTCCTATTTATTTAAGAGAGAAATAAACACTACCCCACATAGCTTTATTTTGGCTGAAGAATTAGCAAATATTATTTTGCAAAACAAAAACCCACCTATATTTAATTCCCTTGATGTTTTGCGTTTTCGATACACATACCACATTTATACCTAATATATAATTAGAGTTGACATAGATACAACTTCCACTTAAATTCAATAACAAGGAAGTTCTAAAATCATTGAGTTGACCTTAATACCCGGTTTTGAGTTGAGGATTACTGCATGAATGTGAGATTTGAGCCTGAAAAGATCTTTTGAGGGATCCACATATCTAAAAGGGATAGTTAATATACGTTAGGGTAGGTGCTCCTGTTTCGCTATCACGACAGACTCTACGCATGTGAGCTTATCCCAATTTCACATAACCAAATTATTGGAATAGCCCCAGTGATGCAAAATTTGATCGTGGGATTGGGATGGCACTAGGGTGGCAATTCTACAACTGGGATTTTAAGAGATTTTATGTTGAAATCTTTGGTCATGTATTGTAACATGTATATGTATAAAAGAAAAGATGATTGTAAGATTTTAATGAACCTTTCGATGCCCAAATCTTTCATGGCTAGTGTAATTGCTTGTGGTGAAGCACCTTGTGCCTGGAGTTCATTGAGTTTCTCTTCCACAATTTTGTTCTCTGCATCAATGTCTAACCCAGAAACACCATTAAGTGTTTCTCCCATTCTATATGAGTTCTCTAGTATGAGCCCTTCCCTCTCTCCAGACACATAAGCTGCAAGAGGAGAAAAACAAAAAACAAAAAATTATACTAATTTAATTTAATTATTACTTAATTAATGGTATGACAAAGAAAAGGGCTTAAATTAATGATATAAGGTACAAAGACTACATTTTCCAATGTGATCTCTAATGTTGCATACTTGGACTTACCTGTGGATACATGGACAAACACCTTTAATTTGACGCATTTCTTGGCAAAATTCAGAACATGTTTGGCTCCCATTGTGTTAAGGCCAAGTGCCACATCATATCTGCATGAGAATTAATTAAAATTTTTAAATAAAATTAATTAATTAATAAAAAAAATGATTAAATTATTGGCGAAATTGATGTCTATTTATTTGAACTTAAATTGATGTTTATTTATTTGAACTTAAATTGATGTTTATTTATGATATTACCTCTCGTCAAAGTTGGTAGTTGCGGCTAGATTAACAACAACTTCCAATTCTCTCATCATCTCTTCCACCAAATTTGGGTCTTTCAATCCTAAATCCTCACATGTGATGTCTCCTGGGACAAGGGTGGTTTTTTCTGATATAAAAGAATTGAAATTTGCTCCACATGTCTCCTTTAGGACTTTGAACAAGTCCTTCCCTATGATCTTAAAAAAGAACAAAAAATCACAAAATTAATCAAGCGAAAGACAAGAAGCGAAAAAAAAAACAGAGATAGCCACCATATCCTCCTTCCATGTCCTATTTTGTGTAAAGATAAAAATAACCCAAAACAAGAAAAACAAAAGTTCTAAAACAGAGACTACTGTGACCTCAGAACCCATTTTCTGCGTATAAAAATGTATACAACTGAGGTTAAGATTAGACGTTCAAACTTCTGCAACAGCAAAGCACCGACTGGCTTAGAGATACCTCATTATGCAAGCGTTGAGTTGCAGACTTGACATCTTTAGCTCGTAAAAGAAGATAAAGCTTCTTCACATTTGGCTGAACTCTCAATATCTTCTCAGTGAAAACTGCATCATCATAAGAAGAGAACACTCGTTGAGTGTAATTTCACAGTGGAAAAAAAAACAGAGGAGTATGATATATAGAGTACACATACTCTTTGCCAGAAACCCTGTAGCACCAAGGACCAGAATCGACTTGTTTTCAAGAAAGGAAGGGATACTTCCAATCTCCATGGCAGAGTTTTGGACCAGAGAAAAGGGAAGGAAAAAGGAAGGAGAGAGAAGAGAACGTGTTGGAATGGGGGAAGAAAATGTGGAATTAGCTCTGTGCAAAATCTAGTGGCATCTCATCTTATATATTAGTCGATGAGGAAGAGAGAGGCCAGGGGAAGAATCACATTTATGAAATGGAGTGCACGATTAGTGGTCAGCTTGATAGATTATTTTCCTTTGGTAGATGGCTTGCACTCTGATTTTATCGTGAAAGAAAAAAAGTAAGAAAATCAAAACTTACACTTCAAGCCTTTATTCGTTTGATTGTATTCTTTTTCAAATTGTTTAAAGCTAAAAGTCCATCAAAGAAGAGTGTTTGCTTTAGCATTTGCATTTTTCTTTGTTCTAATCAAATATATTAGAATGTAAGCTATAAATAAATATAATTATTAAAAATTGATTATTAATTATACATTGTAACTAACTATTTATTAATTTACGTAAAAAAATTTATATTTTTTAAATAAAAAATAAATAAAAATTGAGAGAT